AACGGAGCTCTTAGAGCAGTCAGTAGGCTCAGTAGGCTTGGGGTCCCAGAGCCGGTGCCTTGTCCGTGGGCCCCGGTGCAGGGCCGAAGAGCGTTGGGCCGACGGCCTCTGCTTTTTGGCTGAGGGTCACGGCGGCATCTTCGCTTCTCCCGAGGCGCCTCTCTCTCCGCCCCACCCGCCAGAACGAAGAAGTTCCAGAACAGCACCTTCCACTCACCAGAGTATGGAACGGAACGGAAGCAAGAGCACCGTCGATCGCTGGCAAAATGATGGAGGGGCACAATCACACCGTCAAAGATCGGACGAAAGTTTGGGGACCAGCGATGAATCAGCACCTTACCCGTGGCAGCAACGATGCAGGACTTGTCGGCCGAGCACACACGCTTAGTCTAGGGCGTAGTTCACTGCCTGGCTTGGTGGCCAGAACACCGCGGAGTGCAGATAGTCTCCTTGTTGCCGCGGCCGCACAAAACATGGAGAGGCATCTCGAAGACTCCGTCTCTGTTGCAGGATCGTCCTGGCCACAACTCCACGGCCTGACCGATGCTGCTCCTGCGGCCGGTGACTGCCAGTGATCTCCTACACGGAAACCCACATCTTGCTGTTGCGGTCTGCAGTGCTCGCTCCCCAGGTTCCAAGGAAGCCCGGCCACGGCGGACGGACCTCAATTCGCAAAGAGGCAAGAGAATGCAAGAGAGAGAGAGAGAGAGAAAAAAAAAAGATGGCCTCTTCCCACAGTCATGCGTGTAGTGTGGCCTTCCCCGGTCAAGGGGCCGCAGTTGTCAGTCGAGTCCGCAAAGCTCCGAAACACGAAACAGATGGACAAGGCCTCAGAAAGGGGGAACGCATGGCGCGACAAGCGCAAAGCTGCCAAGCAATTGGATGCTTCACACACGCTGCCGCCCAGACACATAAAGGAGAACCCCGAGGGGCAAGTATCCGAAGCTGAAGGCTGCCTGCATCTTCAGAGCCTTCAGCAAGGCCTCAGCGCAAGGCTCTTTTGGCGGTGGCTTCACGAGCCCGGCGAGCCCTATAGAGGTCGAGTCACAGCTTGCCAAGTCGTGGCATTCCCGAAGCGCAGATCACCTGAAGAGAAAAGCCGGGAAGCAGAGCCGAGTGGACGAGTGGAGCAGTCAGGGCCGGGGTGCAGTACTCGTAGAAGCGGCCGAGGATTGCTACCTCCAAAACCGGGCTGTTGTGGTAGCTGGCGTATGAAAGGAGGGGCTCGCTGTGGGCTGATTGGCCTGGAAGAGGCATGCCGTGGACACGATGGCGAGCGTGTACCGCCAGTCCCAGCCACCGATCTTGTAACCGTCCTGTTTCAATTTGGTGAAAAAAGCCACGGCAGCGGCGGCCGCCATCTGCAACCGCGGCGCTTGCAGATTGGACTTCTCGTGGTAGGATGGCACGCGCTGTGCGAGTAGATCGGCGAGGCCAAACCTGAACCGGCGCTTTGCAGGGCGAGAACGACCGACACCGGCGATTTGATGCTTACTTTCGCGTCTCTGCCATGTGCCGGCGAGCAACAGGCAAGCAGTCCAGGACCTAAGTGTGGAGCAACGAGACGGCGGCCCGGTGTCAACGACTAATGCTTCCGCCAAGTCACATCTGTGTGAAGACCTTGTCCTGGCAGGGCGGCTGGGAACTGTTGCCGGAACTGCCAAGCATCAGGGTCGGTAGCTCGGGCCTTGTAGAGCTTCAGGGCAACCTCGAGTACGCGAAGCTCGGTGGCTTCCGAAAGGGGAGAGCATCACACACACCTCCACCCGTTGGACATGTTGGGTAAGCTTCCGGCCATCTTCAAGAGCTTGCTCACGTCCATGGAGCGCTCATCCCTCTTCAGCAGGAAGAAGACCCCATAGCCTCGCGATGGATGAAGTACTTCTGCATACACAGTAACTCAGTACCGACATGCTCTGTGGCCAGGGGCCAGGCCTCCAGCTGCAAGTGCAGCAAGCACTGCCCAGAAGCGGGCCTGGCCAAGAGAAGGCTAAACCGCTGAAGCAGCCTGCCAGCCTCCACATCTTTGCAGGTCCATGACGGTATCTCTCTGCGAAAGAGCGGCCACCGACTTGAGCTCTTTCCTCCTTTCCTGCCATTGGCCCGCTTGCGGCCCTATGGGCGCCGCCGGCCTGTGCTCTCAGCGCCCCTCAGCGCCCACTTCAACCCTTCCGAGACCCGTTCACGCCGGGCACGGCAGGAGTCTCAGAGCTCGCGAGGCTCACACCTCGGAAGAGGCCAAGCGCTTAAGGCCAGAACTCTGCCGGTTTGGCCGCTCGGGGGCTGTAGGGCTTGAGGATGGCTTAGGCTTTGTCTGAGCCACTTACTGCCCGCCGCGTGCGAAGTCTCGCTGCTCGGCCGTACAGCACCTCAAGAACAGGCAGTGCTGGCGTGCACCGTGCGAAGAGCCAAAGAAGAGGACCTGCGACGCAGAGAGCGGCCAGCAATCGCCAATCGATCTGAGTTCGGAAACTACATGCGACACACAGGTGGCAACATGACCCTCAATGGCCTGCAGCAATGCACGGGGCATGGCGCCTAAGCCCTGGGCACGCATGCACGAGCGGCTCACGAGTGTCGGACCAGCGTGGCCACAACCGTGGCCGGTGGCCCAGCCGTGGCCCAATGCCGGCCCTCTTCAGACAGAAGTATGGCACTGGTTTTCAATCTTCGAGAGGCAATCCCCCGTGCTCACATGTTCTCTAAAGCCGTTTTGCGGAGGAGTGCCTCTACCTCATGCCGGCCGTAGCATGAAGGTGGATTTTCCTCACGATGTGTCTTCAAAACTCTCAGTGTCGATGTCAAGACGAAACTCAAACGAAAGACTGCTTCTCTCAGGCCCAAGCCAAACATCCCCGCTGTTGGGCGGGTATCCAGCTCGAGCCGACGCACCAAAGCGGAGCAAAACCGCCGAACCAGGTTTGGCACGAAGGCTGGCGGCTCAAGGCTCAAATGTCGCCAAAGATGCAGATTAAGACTGAAGCCTCCGTAAAGGGTGGCTGCATGCGGCTAAAGCGGTGAATACCTTTTCAAGACGCCGTTAATGAAGTGACAGCTAGGATGGTGGTTGTCCCAGCTCGTACGTCACTGGTGTGGGACACCTTGCCGTCCAACGGTGTGCTCTGCATATCCAGGCTTGGCACTACCAGTATATGATGGGGTCAGCCGCCAGGCTTCCCGTCTCTGCCGAGGACCGCAAGTCTGCCGAGCAAAATCCGATCCAAGACACGCCAGAATCAATGACATGTAACAATGTAGGACGCGTGAACGCTTCAAACCCAGGTCATGTTGCCGTGCTGTTGAGCTTCTGCTCCTGCGCCGGTCCTCGACCCGATCACTGAGCAGGTCACTTAAGAATGGCCAGGTCCAACAGATCACCTGCAGCACATAAAGCGAGTTGTGCAATTGCACACATCTGCTTGTCAGCTGCTCCGTAGCCTGTTTGGAACTTCGACGACGACAGCGCCTGGACAGCAAGCACTCTGATCAGGTAGTTCGGCAACACGCTACGTGTCGCTTCGGACGTTGTATGATGCCCGTCTCCAAAGCTTACCAGTGAAAGGGTCGAAGCTGTGGCCCAACTACAATCCAAAGAAATTCTGCTTTGCTGAGCCTAGCTGGACTCGATCAAACTGAGAGGCCTACCAAGCGGCAAACCAAATACGGGCTCACCGAAGCGATTTCGAGACTCAGGAAAGCTTCGAATTGGGGGGACGGCGCGTCCAGCAATTCCATTCACACCGTTCGTGGGGAACCCAGAGCATTTCACAGAGGAACTGGTCTCTGAAATGGAGTGGCCGACTGACTGGAGAGCGGAAACCCGCTAAAAAATGACATGCTAGGGCCAGGGTACAAGATCCTGATACAGAGACGGGCTGGCAACCAGACCATCCTCTATAAAATGGCGTGTCCAAGTCTGTTCGCGAAGGCGGTGGACCCCTAACCCCCTGGGGGCCCAAACCGTACCCCTGAAGCTCTCACATGCGTTAAACCCTAAACCCCTCGAACATCATACTCCCGAAGCCCTAAACCCTGGAAGCCTTAATTAAGCCTTAAACCCTTTGACTTATTAACCCCTGGAGCCGTAAAGCCCTACTATTATTATCACTACTACTGCTACTACTTCTATTCAATTGGACGCTGTGCGAGCGGGCTCAGCACATTGTGGGCGATTGCCGCATATGCAGTCACGTCGGTGTGAAACTGACCCTGTGACCCTGTGAGTCTGACAAAAAAATGTGAACACAGCGGCTAGCTTGGGACTGATTCACTCCTTGCCGCACGGGCCGCATTGGACCCAGTGCTCTGCATGCTGAACCACAGTCAGCTCCGGGTAAGTGCAGTGAACAGCCTTGTACCTGGAGATGCCACCACCTCAGAGCAAATAACGAGCGCATACGAGTGCTGTTGCGGCTGAGGCATGTAGCAAAAGCGAAAGCACACTTTTTGCAAGACAGTGTGGCGTCGGCAGATGTGCAAGAAAGCCAGCAGTCCTGGTCTAGGCAGGAAGAGGGCACGCCAATTGGTTGGCAGCGCCACAGCAGTCCGCAGTCAACTGTGCTAGCAGCCATTGGCACCGTGAAAGAAAAGTGCAACTCACTGGCGCCACTGACGGCTGCTGCTGGAGCCCGAACCAGAGCGGCGCTGCCACCAATTGTCATCAGACCACTGCTGGTCTGTCCATGAGTCGCCTTTGTTCTGCTCAATGCGAAGCTTGCGTTGGACACGACCGTCCTTGGGCTGGTAGAAGATGACGCGATTCAAGCCCCAACATTTGACGACTACTGCTGCTGCTGCTACTACTACTACTACTGCTACCACCACGACTATTACTACTACTACTACTACTACTACTACTACTACTACTACTACTACTACTACTACTACTACTACTGCTGCAGATAATGCAAATGCAAATCCTAATGCTAATGCTACTGCCACTGCCACTGCTGCCCTACTGCTGCTACTGCTGCTGCTACTACCACTGCTACTACCACCACTACTGCCGTTGAGCATCTCGCCTGATCTCTTTTTAACATAACATGTATGTATATAGATATATATACATATACATAAGATGTATATATATATAACAAAAGAATACATATATATATATAATATCTTACGAGGAGCAACAAATCCTCTGTAGAATGGCCTGTCCACCTTTGTTGCTGCCGACCAGATTGCTCCGTAAAACGGCATGCGGGGTTCAGAAAACAACTGACCTCTCGAAAGTGACCATGGCAAAACCCCGTTTCACGGAGCACCAGGTTTCGCCATGCTATCGCGGCATATTCGCGGGTGATGTCATAGCAAAGATTCCAGGCGAGCTGTTTCTTCCTCTTTGAGCACATCCTGGGTGCCTGCCTACACCTTCAACACAAGGATGTTGCTGCTTCTTTTTAGTCACTAGTCCGCAAAATGCGCTCAGGGTCTACTTTCTAGCCAACCCCGACCGCTCGTAGCAAGGAACACCAAAGAGAGCATAAGCGTGTTTCGCGGTTCCCCACAAAACTGAGCTCCCCAAAGGTCGAGCTACAGCCCAAAAGCGCAAAGGAAGCAAAGGCCGGGCCTTGTCATCATCGGGACCGCGTCGCGCACAGGTGACCGTGCCCAGGTTGGTGCTGACGTTCTTTCCAGTCTTGTCCTTTGCATGGCGTCGTTTCTTCGGCTCAGAGGCCAACCGTGCTGTTCTTGAATCTGCTTAGTTGAACTGTTCCAGCTTCGGGCAAAGCTTTGCTGTTCGCTCTTCACAGCTCCACTGCACTGGACTCCCGGACGACGCAGCGTCTTGGTACAACTTCTGTCTCGAGTTTGGAATGCTTAGGCTCCGGCAGGGTAGATCAGGTTGAAGGCCAGCCTCACCTTGGGGTCCCGGGCCTCTGGCGCCACGTCCTTGATCAGGTCCGCTAACCTGGAACCAACCCCAAAATCCGCGGTTCTGATCGGGTGTATCTGTTCCCGAGACCTATGCAGCCCTAACAAAAACCCTCAATCTGGGGCCGTTCAGGCTCTCAAGCCATCAGCCAAGACACTCTCGAAGTGTGACGTCTGGCCAGGCATACACCTGCCATCAATTTCAAAGCCGTGTGTCTGTATACTCTCTCTCCTGCTAGAACCACTCGGACAGAACCGCAGCAGCAGCAGGCAGGGCCTGCAGCTCGTCATGGACCGGCTCCTTGCCACGCTCTGTAAACGCCTGCCCACGGCTCTCGCGCAAGCAACCTGTACTTCCTGGCCTGGTGTACTAATCACAAGCAGAAACCCCTCGGACATGGAAATGCAGCCCAGCCTGAATGCCGTGATGCTCGCCTGGCGGGGTCCCTACGTGCCCTGCAACACCCCTTGATGCCAGTCTTAAATCTTGTTGCCCACAGCAGAATTCAAGCAAAGGCAAAATGAGATCTGGCCTATTTTCCGAAAGATCCGAAGCCTCGGCAGCTTGAGTTGACAAGGTAGTGAAAGACTCTGAGTTGTGCCGCCGTACATAGGTCTGGCCAGAGAGTCTGGCAGGAAAGGACATGTGCGCGAGCGATCCAACGTCTTTCGCGGAGGTGGAAGGATCGCCTGTTTGCCACGGCCTCCATGTGAATGCGCAGCTCATGTGCGACAGTGAAGTCAACTTTCGACTACATGCCTACATGCTCAAGTTGGTGGCCTTTAGCAGGGGCCTCGCCATAAGGTGCCGCTCGCTCTCCAGTGCGCTCCGTGCGAGCCGCCGATGCCACGGAGGCTGCCATGGCACCCGTGAAGTTCCTCAAAGCCCCGGCTGCCTGGCCTGGCAGTCACAGGCGCTGCATCTGGGGCAAGTTTGCCTCCTACGAAGACTCACAACAACTATGGAACTATGGTACTACATTTGCCTTTCTCGCGATCACGATCTCGGTCCCGGTCCCGGTCGCGATCGCGATCTCGATCGCGGTCCTCCTCTGTCGGCGATTTGTCAATGGCATCGCTTCAGTTCAACATCAAAGTGGCACACATCTGCGTCTAAAACCCTGTTTGAAACCACGGCTTGCCGGTGTTGGCCATTCCGACCATTCCGAGAAAAGCTTGGACTGGCCCCCGTGGCCTTCTCGTGGCGCTCCTCACGATCTCGCTTTTCGCCACGTCGTTCTTTTCGCTCCTGTGGGAATGCTGGCGAGCACTGCACAAGACGACACCATCTTGCTGCTTGCTGACTGCTGACTGATTCAAAGGCTTTACCGCCTGGCAAAACACTTTTGTCATCTTCTGAGGTTGATATCTGCTGTGTCACTTCTTGCATGTCCGAGTCTGCGAGTCTCGCTCCTCTTGCTCCTCGCTCTCGCTGTCATCGGACCCCATGGCTTCTTCTCTCTGCGCCGCAGTCAGGTTAAAGTAGAACTCATGCAGTTACAACGGACGGTGTCGTTGCACGAATCATGCATGTTGCCATCCAGGAACACATGGCCTTTGGGAGCAAAGGACAAAGCAGCAACGCCCGAGTTCCTCCCACGTGTAGTTGCTGTGGCCTTCCTATCACATCATGCGGCAAGAGGATAGGCGACATTT